TAAATAAATGGTTGCTATGGTATATGAGCGAATGAAAGTAGTTACAGGATGACTCTACTTGACTAGCTCGGGGGTGGAACGTATGCTCCCTTTCACCTAGAGTGTGGGATGGTAGGTGTGTGGGCTGACTCCCCTGGTAGCAGTGTAAAAAAAACAAAAAGGAAAAGAAAACAATGTGGGAGTAAAAATTGTAAATGTCGTGGCAAAACAAGAAAATTTGCTTAGAAAAATTTTAGGTTTGTTAAGCATGGACTGGATACAAACAAGCACACACCCATACAAAGAATCTTGTCCTAGGGGACAATAGTTGATTTCTCAAACTAATCTAGCATGTTGAAGCCAAATGTTCTGAGTTCTGAAATTCTATCCCATATAACTATTCTACATCTGAACTTGCCATGGTATTTTTATTTTGCTTAATATTATCCATTGCTTGAGGACAAGCAATAGCTTAAGTTTGGGGATGTGATAACTCCGTAAAAATGTCATATTTGGGACTTTTTCACTTAAGTTATTGACTGTCTAAAAGCTCATATAGGATCATATAGATGCATTTAGGAGCATATAGTTGCATGTGGTGAAATTATGGTTACCGAGGCATTTTTATTTTGTAATAAGTGTTGCTTTTATGGGGAAGGTGTTTTGTTTGATGATGTACAGGATTTGGGAGCAAGGATAAGCAAAATGGAATTGCCATGACATGATGAGACTACTGAGCAAAATACGATTACCGCGACAACTCGGACGACATTTCTGGGCATAAAAAGTCAAATAATATATTTTTAGTAAGAGCCAGTTGTCATTGACCATGCGTGATTTCTGCAATCAACCATAAAGGAGGGGCCCATTACCACCTATGCACCATCTTTCACATAAAAGGAATGAACTTTAGGGTACTTGGGTAATTTTAACACAAAACCCTAGGTTCATTCTCTCCCTATAAATAGAAGATGAAGCCACAATGAAGAGGAGACTTGGAGAATTTTAGACAGCCGCTAAGAGCCTAAAAATTCAGAGAAAAATATCTCTCTTTTTTTCTGTCAATCGTTTTTACCGTGGCATTCCTCCATTAACAAGCTAGAGGGAGTGGTGGCTGAGGGAAGCTCCGACAGTGCACGTCGAAGGCTTTTCCTCATTCCCTTTGCTTTTTACTTTCGTTATTTATTATTTGGGTTGTAAGGAACGTATTAACTTGCTTTGTGCTTGCTTATTTCGAACCCCACCATGAATTAATCCTATTTGATGGGAGTTTATTTTGGATATTTAAGTTTTGCTTTAATGAATGGTTATTTTTCTATGTTATATTCTGTTTTATTTATGAATATTAGTGCCTTAAGGTTGTAGGAGCTACGAGAATCGACGTTCCTTAGGAGATTGCTTAGTGTTCGAGAGAATGTCTAGGTAGCACATCCTTAGTGTTTGAGAGAAACTAGGGAGGAACCACATAAGCAAGGGGTTCTAGATAGTAAATAGGTCTAATCCACCTTAGAGATAAGGCTAGGATTTCATTCGACTAAAATGAGTTATGCATGAGCGATAGGTTAGATGTTAATACTGCCGTAAAAAGGTATTACCGAGACATATCATGTTATCTGGACCAAAAGGATCCCTACAGTAGCTAACGCCAACCGATTTTGCCAAAGCATCTTCAATCTGTCGAGTCCCTTAACTAGACATAGCATAGGGCAACCTTAGTAAACTCTGTCGGGCAGATAAGACATAGAAGTAAGACCATTCTGAGAAGTAGACTTAGATTTTCCTAAGTAACTCCTATATTCATTCCTATAGTAGCTTGTCGTGTGAGGAGTCCAAAGTCCTTGTAAGCAAATCCAGTATTGACAGTTTATTTTGCCTTTATTTTTATTTGTTTGCACTTAGCACAATTCAATTTGCCATAACATCTCCATTTGCTAACATATTACCATCAGACAATTTTCACAACATCCATTCATTTTGCCACAATATTTTCATTTGCAAATAACATTACTAACTTTACTTAGGTGACACAGTAAAGCGCTTTGGCTGAACTTATCAATTTCCTCCAATCCCTGTGGAGACGATACTCACTCATCACTGTATTACTTGTTCGATTGTGTATACTTGCACATCTATCCACACCTATAATTAGTACTCACAAATAGTGGGCACTTTCCTTGACTCTGGTTTCAAGCAAACACAAGATGCTGATTCGACAGTTACCAGCCCATCTCAACACTTTCTTTTGCTTTAGAGGACTGCTGAATCCTCTAATGTTCCAAAATCACACTAACATGGATGAGTGGATGAGGAAAAAACACCACCTCTGTCCTCTGCTTTCTTTACCCTTTCAACATGCTCTTTCTTTTTTTGTTTCAGATCTTGGATAATCATTATCACTCCAAGAGAAGCAACTCGTTGTTTTCTGCCCGAGTCTTCATTAGCTAACAAACTCTGAGGGTCTATAGAGTTTAGGACTTCAAATTTGTTCTTTGAACCTCTCATAACACATTTGCCATCATATTTTGTTGGTCTTCCTCTCCCTCTTTTAATGGGAGGGTTACTTCAATTCCAGTGCTTAGTGCTTCCACATGGATAGCTTATTTTACTTCCATAGCAACTTCTTTCCCAGAATTAACTCTGTCTTTATCCTTGCAATCTTTTCCAACCGTATCTACCAAGCTTAAATCAATCTGCTCAGAATGAATATCAACATTACCTCCAGAATTAGCATCATCAATTACCTTATTCAGATTACCATTTTGTTCAGTAAGAGTATTATCAATTTTAACTCCTGCTACAACTGCATCACTGATAATTCCAGCAGCAGATTGTTTCATCTCCCTTTTAGGTCCCTTAACTCTCCAGACCTGCTCTACTTTCTTCCCCTGAGGACAGTATCTCACAGAGTGACCAAACCTGCCATACACATCACATGAAGCTGGCTTCCAAGGTACAGTGACCTTGATACTAACAATTGAATCATCACATAGCAATACATCAACATATTCTGGAATTTTTGAGTCCAGAGAAATTTCCACACAAACTCGAGCATATTCAAGCCTTTCTCTTGATGTTGTTATTGAGTCCATATGCAGGGGTTTGCCAATTGCACTAGCAATGTAACTAAGCCCTTTTTCTCGAGAATAACTCCAAGGGGATATTGTACAACTGGATCCATATGGGATTTCGAAACAGGTCAAAATGCAATTCCCTCATATTTGGTTCCCACTTCCTAAGGAATATAGTTATATGTTGAACATGCCATAGACCATTTTCTTAAACCCAGTCCATGGCAGAAGCATTGGAAAATGAAAAAACAAATATATTCGAGCTTGCCAGACTTACTTTCACTGGAGCAACTTTACCCCACATCAACTCGATTACCTTCTGCAATGTTCCAAAATTGGGTGAAGATTCGATAAATTGACCAACCAACGCATATCTCCACTCCAGGAATCCTTCATCAAACACAACCTTCAGAGGTTTCACAACATAGGAACCCTTCACCTCCGCCGAGGGAAAAAAGTCAAGTTCCTGCTGACTCCCCACCGCGAAGAGCTTCCTCCAATCCGTTGTTGCCTCAGCAGACATAGCCCAGCAAAACCCCTAAAAAATAATCGGGTTTTGGCAAGAAAGAATCAAAGAATCAAAGGGAAAAAATGTTCGTCTTCACTCGCTGTTAGACCTGCTAACATGCACCGAGAGAGAAAACGGTTATTCTCAAGTTGATGTATTTTTATTAAATTCATTATCTTTGATTTCCACATGAGGCATGCAATAAAATAATGAAATTAAAAAAATTAAACATGTATTTTGTTTTCTGGGATTCTTCCACATTTTTGACACTATCGATGTTAATTGATAAAAATGATTTAAAGGTAAAATAATTTTTGGTATTTCAACTTTAATTTTTTTAACTTTTAACCTAATTTCTCTTCCCCTCCTCTTATGAAGGAGTTATTTTTAAAAATATATTTTAGTTTTTAAATTTTATGAATCTATTGAGTGGTTTCAGTGATAAAAGTTAATGTTGTTCTTTCTAATCTTAGATTCGAGCGGTTATGTCCATAGAATGTGTTTACATTGTTAATAAATCAAGAAAATTTTAAACAATTATAATTACCTCAGCTTATTAAAAATAAATTAAACTTTATTATATATCTTTTAAAGTTTAAAGTTTAAAATTTTATTATTTATTAAATTAACTTAAATATGATGAACAATAAAATACGTTAATTTGAAAAATATAATTTTGTCCTTAACTAAATTTAAGTTTAGATGACGGTAAAATCAGTCCAATATTCAATTGGGTAAATTATTTAGCCCAATAAGGTGACTCGAAAATTATTTTGAGATATATTATTTGCTATAATGTTTGTGGAACTTATCACGTCGGCGTGTAGAGTTTCATAAAATATATTAAAACTAGAACTCGTCATATGATATAGCCATATAGGAAAATATTGTTTGGAACTTATCACGTCGACGTGACGAGTTTTAATATATTTTATGAACTCGTCACGTCGACGTAATGAATTTCACGTACAGTGTAACAAATGTTATAGATCTCAAAATAATTTTCGAGTCACCCTATTAAGCTAAATATTTACCTGCTTGATTATTGTGCGGATTTTACCTTTAGATGACATTTAAGATTATTTAAATTTTTAAATTTTCATGGAATAATTTTAAATTTTAACGTAAATTTTTTAGTCCGTTAAACTTAAAAATTAGATGGAATTTATAAAATTAAGTTTAAATAGCATAATTCTTTTTAATCTGTCATCTTAAATTAATTCAAGGATGATTCAAATTTCAAAACTTAAAGTTATTAAAAAATATATAAATAAAGCTTAAATTTATATTAATATTAATACATTTTTGTTGTTAAATTTAAATTAAAAGTATATTTTAAAAACTTTTAAAAAATAAATATAAGATGAAATTCCTTGTTTATCCCAAGGAGCTGACAAAATGGCTTCAATGGGCCAAAAACATGGCATCATTTTTTCCCCCCGATATCTCACAGACGGATGTGGAGCAAGGGAATCAAGTGAAATCTCTGGTCCAACTTGAGATAAAATGCAGTTTAGAAACCCATTTTACCCTCCAGGTTTGTCGCTTAATCTTCTTTCAAAGGAAATAGACATTCACCACATTTTTTGTGGTTTTTTTGTTGTTGTATAATCTGAATTTAGAACATCTTAAGAAGATCTGTTTAGAGACATGTTGAAGCTAAGGTTGCCTGGTCTGAGTCGTGGAGTTTGTGCGAATTTCCGAATACCCAATCCATGTTGTTATTCAAACTCAGTATCATCCTCCATTGATGTAAAACCCAAGGTTCCACTCTATCTAAGGCCACCTTCCTTCTCTGCCTCTCTTTCAGAGCTGAGCATGTGGCATAAATGGGCAAAAAATCTGGCATCCTCAGTTGGCTCCACTTTTGTTAACTTAGACAACGGCCCAGATTCCACACTCCTCCATAGAGAGCTCAACTGGCTTCTACAAGACTTAATTGAACTCCAACATCATTCAGAAATACTACCTCGATTGGAATCGAGTAACAATGAGAATCTAGATGTAAGGGTTGCGTTAAGAGCGCCACTGGAGGAGATATATTGTGTTTGGAGGCAGAGGATTGAAGAGAGGAGACCTTTTCAGTATGTGGTAGGGTGTGAGCACTGGAGGGATTTGGTTTTGAGTGTGCAAGAAGGGGTTCTTATTCCCCGGCCGGAGACTGAAATGATTATTGAATTGGTTGAAGATGTGGCTTTGAATAATTCCCCGGAATTGGCACAAGGTTTCTGGGCCGATTTGGGGACAGGCAGCGGCGCAATTGCGATTGCGGCTGCAAGGGCCTTAAGAAGTCATGTCAATGGCGATGCTGGTTGCAGAGTCATCGCCACTGATTTAAGTCCGGTGGCAGTTGCGGTGGCCACTTCTAATGTGCAAAGATATGGTCTACAGGTAACTCGTTAATACGTAGTTGGAAATTGTGTTTATTGTTTAGGCATAGTGAAAACTGAAAATGCTTCCTAAATTTGTAGTATGCACAAAGCATGATTGATAATATATGATATTTCGAAAAACGGAAAGAGAATTAAAAAGAAAGAATCAGTGCCTATTATGGCGCTGGCTCAATCACCGTAGCAATTTGGATGAAGACTTGTGCATGGAAGTCTTAAATTCTTTGTTGCAGGACAAGATATAGGATGAGCATTTGTAGTTTTGAATGGTTTTTGCAATTTGGATGAAGACTTGCACTTTTCTTGTCTTGGATCATACTGAGATGTTCAGTTTAAAACAGGATGTGGTTGAGGTGCGGAAAGGATCTTGGTTTGAGCCATTGAAAGATGTTAAAGGTGAACTTAGTGGTGTTTTGAGTAACCCACCATACATACCGAGTGACGATATATCTGGCCTACAAGCTGAAGTTGGTAGACATGAACCGACACTTGCATTAGATGGTGGTGCTAGTGGAATCAATGATCTTCTTCAGCTCATTGATGGGGTTGCTTCCATGTTGAAACCTGGAGGATTTTTTGCTTTCGAGGTATACTGTTTTGTTTTCCTACAATGGCAGCCATTTTTCTTGTTTTGATAGTTACCCCCTCCAAACCCTAAAATTTTGTCAGCAATCAGCTTATGGCCTTGTTCCTTTTTGTCACCATTCTTCTTCTGATCGTTTAGCTGGAACTGACCTGAGCACTTTCTCCCGTTACAGACAAATGGAGGGAAGCAGTGCAAGTTTCTTGTGGACTACATTCAAAATGAGAAGCCAGGCAGGTTTCGCGATATTAATATAGTATCTGATTTTGCTGGTATCCAACGTTTTGTGATGGGATTTCGTTTATGAATTGAATGATTGGTAAATACCCCTGTTTAATAGTATTAAAGAACTGGAAACAAGGAAAGGGTCTGTGTTCAGTGTTCACAGTAGCTTAATACATTTTTTTTATTGAAGTATTCATTAGATATTTTCCAACTATGGTTTTATTCCATTTGTTGTTTGATGATAATGTGCATTTATATGAAATTGATATCTTTTGAGTTCTAATATTGTGAAAGTGTTATTGCCGGATGGTAGACTGTGTTAGATTTGTTTTGCAGATCGTCCAAGGATTTATTCAGTTTTCAAGTTATTAATTGTGAGTTGTTCATCGTCTACACATGATAGTCCGTTGCTTTTAAAAGTTCACAAGTTTTGACAACATCTCGATTCACATATTCATACGTCAGAGATGAAGATTTCGCTCTCAAAGATCACTAAATGTCTATATTGCTTTCTTATCCTCTCTTTTTTCCCCTTCTTTTTCAAGTAAATTAATGGGAACAAGAACAAGTGGGTTCGGCACTACCAGCAGAGGCTAACTTATGGCTGCGTTCCCAAGTATCCACCGGTGTAGCTTTTTCGTGAGGGACGTGCCGGGGATGTTTCTCCCTTTTGTCACCCTTTATCTGCTTTAATGCATGCTTAAGGGCAGGCAGCAATGCATCCATGCATTCCGCAACCGCATTTGGATTACCAGGCATGTTGATGATCTGGATACATGACAGTATTAGAGACATACCATAATAGAACATGTTCATGATCTTGATTTAATGATAGCATTAGGAACAAATAACAATTCCTAGTTTTACATGATATGTTTTGGATTTTATATTTGTATCTAAGCACACAACTAAATTAATTCATATAGCTAAAGGCATCTCATACTTAAGTAAATCTATGGCGAATTTTAGGACCTTTATGCTTTACCAATTGCATCTCAAGGGAATATAAAAGTTGCACCTGCATTAGTCCAGAGCGACATAGCCTAGTCTTACTAAGTTATAATTCAGGGAAAAAACCAGCTAAGGGTAAAAAACGATTTTTTCGGAGACATAATCAACTGCAAGGATAAAATTATCATTCTTACCAATGTTGACCCTCTTATTCCGGCTGCTGAAAGTGAGAGCATAGCAAACGGAGTTACCTATTCCCATTAAGAAAACTGGTTAGAAATGTTTCATAATCATAACTATAAACGAGGTTGGTTTACACGTGACCTACTAGTAAGAGTACACAAAATGTTGTATGACATCATATGTAATGTATGTACGGTAGAAAAGAATATAGTAATATGCTCCTTCAATATGAAAATTTGATGAAATCAACCATTTCCTGAACAAGATGGAAAGAAGGGGGTATGATTTTTTTATGCTTAATTTATTCAAAGAAATACTCCAGACACCTAAGATTTAACAAGAAGCAGATAATTGCAAAGACTATCTGCATTATCTCATGAAATGTAAAGAGAAAATAAAGATGTATGGTATGCAAATTAAGCTTTTCATATTGATTGAATCAACATAGATAGCACCTTAAGCCAAGCTAGAAACCAGAAGGAAAAAAATTATGTTCAAAAGTAAATTTTTGGCATAATTTAGTTCTGTACCTTTAAACTCTCTCGCATCATGACATACAAAAGACCGGGTGTTTCTTTTTCAATCAGCGCTTTGGTTGCTTCAGGTGTCACATCTCTCGGAGTGAAGCCAGTGCCACCTTAACGAACACAATATAATTTTAAGGAATGGAAATAAATAGAACAAAAAAGGAAATCTCTATCCAACCACAAAAAGGACGCCGGCAAGGATAGAAGAACCCACCAAGTGTAAGGATAAGATCCATTTTATCAGTATCGCTCCATCTCTGCAAAACTTCCTTGATCTTTCCCACATCATCTGAAACCACACCTGTAGCAACTACCTTTGCTCCTCCTAACTTTTCTGATGAGGTATTTACAACGGATACTGCCCTTGGCCCACTGCAATTTCATAATCATTCATTAGGAGCACCCAAATATAATGGATGTGGGACAAGGGAAAAAGCCTTCTAGAACATATTAAAAAAATACACTATTCGGGAATCAGGTTGTGATAAAGCATACAAGGATGGAAGTCGGCAGTGGGAGCAACTATTGATTTACTTCAACTAAGAAATTGGAACATTTGTTAAGTATCAGTTAATTATATATTCATTAGGTCGCCGATGTATGCAACTTGTCATCAATGCATCTTCAAGAAGGTTTCGGGTCAGAGATAAATAGATAAAACATTTACAGGAAGGGCAAAAAGTGTAAGTCATTGATGGTTAGCATAAGATCAAAATTATGAAATACATCCAAGAAAATGATCAAAATGAAAAAGAAAAAAAATAATAAAGAACCTAGAAAACTAAGACTTGAAATGCAAAATACACCTTCATGCAAAACATACCATTGCTGTTTCCAAATGTTGTAGCAAAGCATTCAGTATTCCCATGTCTCACTTTGTCATGGGACAATATCAACTTTGCTCATTTGTTTTAGCATCAAATATGTGACCTTCATGAAACAATTATTCAAAGGTGTACCTAGATAAGTTTATAAAACAGAAGCGGAGAGAGAATGAGCGCGCTAGGAAGAGAGAGAATTAGAGAAAATTCGAAAAAATCCATTTCTTCTGTGGAGGAATGGACATTGTTCATTGATAATCTTAGCAAAAGGGTCTCTAGACATGTGTTAAGGGATTTTTTTAGTCCTTGTGGTCAGATTCTAAGAATTTTCATTCCAAGATTTTTAGATAAATATAATTATAAGTCCTCGACGTTTGCTTTTGTCCAATTTGCTGAGGAGGAAAGTAGGAAGAAAGCAATCCAGTTTGTGAATGGGAAGTGGTTTGATGGGAAGAGAATTTCTGTTGGAGTTGCTATGTATCAGAAGGATAAGAGGAGGGAAGAGGATAAGGGGAAGAGAATGGTGGAGATCAAGTCAGGGGGAAGGGATATTTCAAATACTGGAAGGAAGTTTGAGTCGGGTAGAGGTATGAGAGATGACAGATCATATAAGGATGTAGTAATTTCTGAATGTAACTTAGAGGGTGTTAAGAAGAATGCTCTTGCTGTGAGGAATATTTGGGAGATGCATATTCCATCAGACAACTCAGAATGGGTGAAGAGATCATTAACAGGGATAATGAAACCTTCTTTTGATCTCGTTTCGTTAAAGGAAGCTTTGGAGATGGAGGGGGTGGAAGTTCAGATTGCGAGATGGGGGTACGTATGGAATGCGTGCATCATTACATTCAATTCAGTTGAGGAGTTCTCTCACGTATGGATGAATAAAAAGAAAGAGTTGCTCTTGTGCTTAGACTGGTTAGCACCAGTACTGAACAAGGATGGAGTTCCGATGGCTCTTTGTCAAATAGAGTTGTCTGCATTGTCTTTGTTATGTTGGAATGAGTCATTCGTGAAGAAACTTTCTGGGAAGTGGGGTGATTTTATTTATTTTAAGGAGGAATCAGTGACCAGATCGGACCTGTCGGTGGCGAAAGTTTTGCTAAGGGTGGAAAGTCCTTATGATGTACCTGAGACGGTTACGATTGGTTCTTATGGCAGATCCTTCAAAGTTAAGATTTCGATGGGTTCTGTTATGAAAAAACCAGAATAAGCGGGGAGGAAGATGGAGAAAATTTCAAAAAAATGTAACAGTGGTTATGTCTTGTCTAGGGAAGGGGTTGGGAGATGTCCTTCTTTGGAAGCAGATGGGGATGAGTTCTCAGACGATGGTACATTCAAAGTCATATCTTGGCTGAATAATGGGCAGAACAGTGGTGTGAATGGAGTTTGTGGGGGACAAGTCCCATCGGGAAAGTCAACAGCAGAAAATTCAAATTGTGGGCTGTCAGGTTTCTTGGAAAATAGGACTAACCAGATGGGAAGTCATGTGAGCCTGGGATTGAGGGTTCAAATGATCAGGTTGACTTTGGTCAGTCAGAGGAAAATGAGGCAGTTGGTTCTCCAATTAAAAAACTGATTCCTAATGGGCCTGCTTACAATATAAAATAGGTTGGGAAAAGGTTTATTCTACAGCCCAACCCTTGTTCTGAAAATTCCTTGAATGTTGTTGATGAGGGAGAGGCTGGGGTGATTAAGGAGAATATGCAGGGGGAGATGGAAGTGGTTCCAAGTGAACAGGGTGTCGAATTGGATAGACTAAAGAAGATGAAGAAGGTTATGGAGGATAAGCAATGCAATCAAAATGAGGGAAGTGTATCAGTTCCAAGTGTAAGGATCAGGAATTATGAGAATCACGAGGGTAGTACTTCAAAACTGATGAAGGTGGGCCAAATTTTAGCAAATGAGGATCACCCAGTTCCAGTTATCAATCAGGTGAAGTGTAGTTCTCGATCTAAAAGTCTTAAAAATCAGAGGATACTCCCTACCAGAAAGAAGATGAATCAGAGGACATTGAGAATAGTTCCTCATCGCTCAGGGAGTGTGTGCTCAGATAGTGAAGTGGCTATCAGTTTTTATAACAGAGTCTATAGAAGGGTTGTTAGAAGGATGGTCAGGGATTCGGTGGATCAAGATAGGGAGTCATCTCAGTCTTCTCAACTTTCAGTTAAAGCTAGGAACGAGGCTACTGCAACTAGAGAGATCTGCGATTTGTTAGGAATTACATTTAAAGGGGGTCAGCATCTATTAGAGGAAGAGATATTTAAGATGGAGATGAAGGGGTCTTCTCGGGGAGTATGATTGTTTTTGGTTTGTGTTGGTATGTATGACAGTTATTTCTAATGTCAAAGTTTAAAATAATAACATGGAACGTTAGGGGTCTAGGAAGAAGAGAAAAAACCAGAGCAGTGGCCAGACTTGTTAATAGAGAGAAGCCGATTATTCTTTTACTACAGGAGACAAAGCTAAAGGTGTGCCATTCAGTCTATGGAGGAAGTTAAGGGTAATCTTTTGAAAGGTGGTAGCTTTAATCCTGCCGAGTGCTCGGCTGGTGGACAGTTATTTATGTGGGATGAAAACATTTTTGAGGTCACAGCAGAACATATCCAGAATAGATTCATGGCGTTGTCAGGGAAGTTCAAGTTGCTTAACTTTGAGTGTGTTATAATAAATGTATATGGTCCATCAGTAGAGGCGGATAAAGAGGAGTTTTTCAAGGAATTGTTGTGCTTTGTTCAAGGTCTAAATCAGCCAGTTTGTATAGGGGGAGATTTTAATGCATATTTAGATACCGAGAAGAAATGTGGAGTATCTCAAAACTGGCATTGCATGGATTTGTTTAGATCCTTTGTA